AAGGCACAAACATTCACTGCGTTACAGTTTTCATGGTGTGACTATTCACACACCTCCTGCCAGGACGCTCAGTTGGTAGCTTAACATATGTATGTATTATTTATTGCAAGAAGCATATATTAATTACTTTTATTTTGGTGACAGCATTTGTCTAAAGAAAAAAAAAAAAAAAGGCAGAGCTCTACCTCCTTGGTTGTTACCATTCTCTCACCTTTTGTCTTTCTAACTATGCTGTGAGTCTGTCAAGAAAAGCTCTGAAATAAATTTAACATTGTAATTATTACCAATAAGTCACCCTGGCATTTGTGTAGGAAGACACCCCCCTCCCTGTGTGCTTCTACCACGGTGGTAAACTTATTTCAAAAATTCTGATGAAACGCTTTGTAAATTTTGTTATTCTGTGATGATAATAAATCATTATAGCCTTAAACACTTCTCTAGCTTGGAGCCTCAGTCACAAATTATCTTGTCATTCTGACCAAAACATTCTCCAAAAAAGCTTGACAAGTGCTAAAACCCAGAACATGAAACCATGTGTTGTTGTGAAAGCAAGATTCAGAAATGTCAATTAATTAGATTAAGAGGCTACTTTTAGCTTTACTTGTGTTGCCAAATAACCCTTAAAATATGCATAGCAGTGGAAGTCTACCTCAGCAATACAGTACTTCTGTGCAAAATAAAGACAATGGATCTGGCTAATAGAGGGAATTATTGTATTTGTCATTCAGACAAGGAGAATGATCTAGAAGCAAATGTCTTGCTTCCCTTTCCACTGTATGGATTCACAAGCAAGATAAATTCTGCCATTTACGAGTTTAGGCACAATTTTTTTTTCTCTGAAATCTGATTCAGATTAGAAAATAAAAGTCAAATCACTATTATACATCTCCATAAGTAAAATGGATTTCTAATGTCACTCTGTGTAGTTGTCTTTTTCCCTTCCATAAACTATCATCCTTTATTTGCATTTTGAAGTTCACTTTAGAAAAAAAAAATGTGGTGCAATTAAATACATTTTTATTCAACTTTTTCCTCATAGCTACCCCTAAAATTTTTATCTTTAAATAATCCATATCCTCAATTTTATTTACACCATAAAGTGTTCCTATATTTTAATGGTATGTTTGCTTTAAAAGGGGTTGTTGGCTTTAATAGCTCGGTTATTATCTTTGTAAACTAACATTCCACATTCCTCCTAACTAAATCCTAGCAAATCATCTGTGCTCGCGCTTGGAACATACATTCCACCACTGAAAATAAAATTTAAGCCAAATAAATGTTCTGTTCAAATTAATATACATAAAATGAATAGCTAAATGTAGATCAATTCTGATGGATTTAACAGTAGGTTTGTTAATGGTAGGAGGGTCATGGTATGTAATGCACCCAAGAGAATGGAACTAAATAAATTTAATTTCCAGTAACACCTATTATTTTTTGCTATAATTTGTAATAATAGATCATTGTCTCCCTTAAATAAATAAATAATTTAAAAACCTGCCTGTTTCGGTTTTTATAAGATACCTGTAAGAATTTATGGAGACACATCACCAGCAGAATGCATCAGTATGAAAAGGTACAGCTTGGCATATACATAAGTACGGACAGGTTTTCTGTTGGGGTTAGTTTTGGCTCTAGGATGTGTTACATTTAGGGCTAGGAGTAGATTTAGGATTAGTCTTAAAGTTACAGTTAGGACAGGCTTAAGGCTACGGTTACGACAGGGTTTTTGTTAGGTTTACAGTTAGGCTAAGGATAAGCTGGGGTTAAGGTGAGGACAAGTAGGTATAAGAAGGGTCCCAGGTGTGGCAGAGCTGCAGCTGAAGGAAGTCTTGAGCTTCAGATTCTGCCCCAGCACACACCACACCAGAGCCCCCCATAAGGCTCAGGAAGAGTAATTCGGAAGAAGTTAGAAACTCATTTCCATTTTTCATTGAAACATGTCAAAAAGTTTTCTCATCTTTGCAGCCTCTCCTTACAAAGGACTGTGTCTGGCAAAGCCATTATTTTTCAAATGAATGGTTATCAGCACAGCACAACACTCAACGTTACAGGACTCAGTCTCATACATGTATATGGTGGCAGCAGTCCTTGAGCAATAACGGGTATTTGAATGACAATTTGTGGCTCAAATAATGTTTTGGCCTTTAACTGCAATTTTAATTCCTACAGATTATTAAAAATAATAAGTTTTTCAACAGATTCACCTTCCACCATTAGCTGGCCCGCTATCAGCCATGTTGCAAGCAATGGTTTATAGCAGTGAATCCTGTTCCTTCCCTAGCAGACCTGCTGCCTGCTCAGTGGGTTACTCTGCTAGGTGAACTTTCTTCCTTTCCATCCCCCAGCCTTTCCCTTCCTCACAGGGCATCTACATGATATTTTGACCTGTGATTAAGAGGTGACTGTATGTAATCGCCTCTTGGAGCTGCTGAGTCCAAATTTGCATCCAGTCCCTGTACGTTGGGAAGTGGATATCCTCTGCAGACCCTTTACTGAAGGGGGAAGTACACAAGAAACAGAGTATTTAAGGACTTAAAAACCTTCACAGAGACAAAAAAAAAAAAAAAAAAAAAACACTTAAGACCAAAACAGTTCTCCTAAATTTTAAACACACCACAAACTATGCTTAAGTTCTCTGGCCAAGGTTTGCTAAATGCAGAGCATTCTAAGTGCACTGAAAGTCTGTAGGAGAAGCACAGGGATGTGTTTCGTTATGAAAGGAGCCTTAAGACAAGTGTAACACCTGGAATGTATTGTCCACTGGGGATCAAGGCAAAAACACACAGCCTTGGAGATATCTGTGTGTCCCTGCCCTACGGTCCCACTCCCAGTGGAAGTTATAGCAAGCCCAGGACCTCTTGGCAGCCCCATTTTGGCACTTTATTGCCTGTATTCGGAAGCTGAGCGGTGAGGACTAGATTGAAGTAAAATTTGTTAACGGGGCCCAAATGTAAACATGCTTTATTTATTCCTATGAGTCTCCAAAAAACTTTATTACTGATACACGGGATTGTGCTGTTATAATAGTCTTCCCTGAGGAGTAACTAGGACTCCAGCTGTACTGCGGAATCCATCATGCTATGTATTACAGGGTTAAATGGTGCTGTCTGTTATCAGTGCAATGTGTGCTGGTCTGAGAAACCTGAAGGCTGCACTGAAATGTTGAGAGGGCTCCTGCTCTCAGCAAAAAGGACCAAAGCATCCCTGACTCCTGCTGGGAGTGACTTGGCTGCATGGCTGATGTGGGGAAGAGAAAAGCTGGGCAGCAGGAGATGAGCTGCAGCTGGCACCTGGCTATGGGAGCACTGCTATACCTGTTTTGCAAGGGCAAGGCACTATGCCACCAATGCCTGCAGAAGAGGGAGCAGTGATGCTGACTATGTTCATCTCTCCCTCTGCCACAAGAGTGAAAGCCAGTACTGCTTCCATGCACCATGGGAAAACACCTGGTGAGAGGAACTGTTGGCAGAAAAGATGTGAAAGTTGTGTCAAATGGTAAAAATGGAAATGGCTGGCAACAATATCTGGCAGGAAGGTGAGCAACAGCTTGATAAAGAAGAAATATTCTTTCCTCAACTGATCCCTAGAATCATTATGGTTGGAAAAGACCTCTAAGATCACCTGGTTCAACCATTCACCTACCACCAACATTGTCCTCTAAACTGTGTCCCTAAGTATCACATCAATGCATTTCTTTAACACTTCCAGGGATGGAGACTCCACCACCTTGGTGGGCAGCCTGGTCCAGTGCCTGGTCACTCTTTTGGAGAAGACAATTTTCCTAATATCCAACCTGAACCTCCTCTGGTGAAAATTGAAACCTCTTGTCCTGTTGCTGTAACCTGGGAGAAGAGGCCAACCCCCATGTCACTACCACCTCCTTCCAGGGAGTTGCAGAGAGCAATAAGGTCTCCCCTGAGCCTCCCACATAAGACTTGCATTCCAGACACTTCACAGCCTCATTGCCCTTCTCTGAACATGCTCCAGTACCCGTATCACTTGCAGTGAGTGGCCCAAAACTGAACAAAGCATTGAGGTGCAGCCTCACCAGAGCTGAGTACAGAGAGCAGGAGCAGGGAAGGTCGCTATTCAGTTCCTGCTGGGAACACTATTTCTGATACAAGCCTGGATGCTGCTGGCCTTCATGGCCACCTGGGCACACTGCTGACCATTGGTAGACACATAGAACATTTGATAAGCAGCCATTTTATAACAACTTTTTTGTTGTCGTTGTTTTGAAACATAGCTGAAGACTGTTATCACATCCCTTTCTAAGCCCTCTTGTTCCCAGACTAAACAAATCCAATTCTTTTAACTCCTCCTCATAAGTCATGTTTGAAAAACCCCCAATCACTCTTGTTGCTCTCCTTTGGACTCCCTCCAATTTGCCTCCATCTTTGTTAATGTCACCAACTTCAGCCAAAGTTTTGCAGCTTAGAGAATTGTTGCTTGCTGCAGAGCCACCTGACACCCTGACCTTTAGCTCAGCAATGAGAAATAGCGCACAAGCTTCCTTAAAGGAAATGGTATTACATATATATTGTCATGTACACTCAGCATCATGCCACCTGCTTGCCACATCAACAGGCTGGTTGGTCTGAATAGCAATAAAGCTATAAACAACAAGAAAAGCTCTTTTTTTTGAGCTGTTATATAGATGGTCTTGCTGTATAGCTTAAAAATACAAGAAAGCGGAGCTGAGCTGTTTTAAAATTCTATTAAAAACTCATTTTTTTTCTCTACAGCCCCAAAATAAGCAAAGCAATTTCAAGAAAACAGAACAGCCCAACAGAAAACTGTGAAAAAAAACACATACTGTTAAATTGATGTTAGCCAAAGTTACAGAGGAGCGAGTAAAAAGTCTGTGATTTTTTTTTTTTTTTTTTTTTTTAAAAAAAAAGGAGACTATCACCTTTATCTCAGGCTAATCATTATTAATGTCAACGTATTAGGTCTGCAAGTTAAACTTCTTCCAGGCAGCAGCTCACAGGACTTACCTTTTTCACCATGACCATGAAGCCCAGCACACAGCATCTCCTCTAGGAGCAGCCACATCCCAGGGCCATGACACTGCCCATCTCCAGCACAGAAGCTGGTAAGACTCCCCCAGCCTTCTCCTATTGACCACCATCATATACACCAGCTGGGCAGTGCTGGGCTCTGACAGCCAGCAGCTGAGCAAGCTGAAGGCAGGAGGGGCTCTTTGGGCCTTGCCCCAGCTGTGCGTGGGGAATTCCAGCCTCTCAGCTTCAGAAGGAAAACATGCTGGGAGCTGGGGAGCAGCTCAGGACACCTGAAGGGCTTCAGGGCCAGGTGCAGATGGAAGGAAAGCTCTGCCTCAGAGCAGTGTAGCACAGATGCTTCAGCTGCTCTACACTCTTTCATTCATAGGTACTCGGTTACGCTGCTGTGTGCCTGACCAGCTTCACAAATCCCCCTGTGATCACCAGATGCTTGCTGACCCCTCTGTTTGCAAGGCAGCACAAGTGCCCAACTTTCCTCCAGGGACAAGGAAAGCAGAGCGGATGCAAGATGGGAATCTTCATGGTCTGGCGCTGGATGTCCCCAGCATGTCAGTGGCCTTTACCATCCCCCCCAGAACAACTACTTTTGAAGAGAGGTTTGCAGGGAAGCCCAGCAAACAGCCTGCTAGCAGGGTTCTAGAGAAGGAAAGTGCATTTGCAGAGCAAATTACCAAGGAATGAGCATGCTGAGCATAAGCTGTGTCCAGTAGAAGAGGGGTTAAAGCAGCTTTCTGAGTTCAGGAACAAGGGAAGAGGGAGTATTACATGTGTCAGAGGATTTCTATGGGATCAGAACTGTTTACAATATAATGTGCTTGCACCTGTGGGTTGGTGTGGATTTGTCTGCTGTTCAGTGCTTCCTGAGAAGCTGCTAATACACCATAGCTGATGAAACTGCTGTTTTGATCTCTCCCTCTGTGGAATCCCTTCTAGCGTCTTTAATAAAAGCCCTATTAAGGAAGTACAAGTAGGTGCTTTGTGCTTCTTCAGTACCTAATTTATATTTTTAACATTTCATACTCAAATACATGCCCCAAATTTGACTGTGCTCTCCTTCCCTTTTTCCCCTTTCCTGCTGCAGACATACATACACTCCGTATCACAGATTTCCCTTCATCTTTTGTCTTTTGAGTTTTCTCACCCTCTGCCCAAATCTTGCATTGAATGTAAGAGGCTTACTGAAGTAATTTCATTCAAATTATCGATGGTAAATTGTCAGGGCAACAATGGTTTCGTTAAAATATTTATAACATTTAAAAAAATAATTCTAAAAGCACGTGGCATTCACAAAATCCGGCCCAATGGAGAAGGTGAGTGTCACATCCACCACTCAGACAGCAGCAAGTATCTCCTGTAAGTTCTACATGGGTTTGGGTTAGAGGAAGTTGGAGGTACTCATACATGTTGATATCATGGGGGGGATGGGGGGGTGCGAGATCAGCATAAGTCACTGCTGCCCTTAGGAGCTCTCCTTTGAGTGGTCAGTGCCACGATCACTCAGTGGAGCACATTGATCTCACTGACTTTGGCAGAATTATAGCAGGTCTGTTTGCATGAACCATTGCTGAACAATTTGTCTGACATATTAATCATCTCTTAGATACGAGTACCCAGACTGCAGATTTTTCTTGTGATCCAATTTTCCTCGTGCAATCATTTCTTTGGGTTGTTGCTGGGTTCATCTATACAACAGGGAAGCGCTGCTTCATGCTTCCCTTCTGACAGCAGCTCTGGTTTGGAAACTGATTTGTCTTCCCGGTGGCACACACAAATCAAGACCACATTTTTATCTTCCAAATCACTTGTAAGAGGAAAAAAGTGATCGTCTGATCAGCAATCGGAGCCCTCAGTGTAATTTATAGGGTGTACATGGCTGTTTTACCAGCAGTCTCCCGACAGTCCGAGCCAAGGCTGCAGGCATGGCGGTGGGCAGGCAGAGGGCAAGGGCAGCATCCCGGCACCCACTCAGCGGGGATCCCATACCTCTAGGCTGCCCTACACACCACCCCGTGATGAATTCATGCTTTATCACAAGCCAGAGAACACAGAAAATTTTCAACCGTTTGGAGGTACAAAGAGCAGTAATCTCAGCCTGAAACAATTGCACAGAACTAAAGCAGTGCTCCTCTCTCCTAGATCTACTTTTAAGATCCCTGTCAAAACAGCCCTTCAAACACATTTGATTGGGTTGGGGCTCATCACGCTGTCACCAACTCACTTTTCATTAGGCTGTTGCTCTCTGTTAGCCTAGCCAAGCAGAAGAACTCAAACACATGCACAAATTAAATCGACATCCAAACTCCACCAATATACAAAGCAATTTAAATGATATTCATTAGAGCGATGACAAGTCCTGATGAGGCTTTCAGGAGCGGAGTCCTTCAGCTTCTGCCGACTCGGTTTCCTGGTCACTGAGGTGGAACTGCAGTGACTGTACCTCCAGCTTAGAAAAAAAGAGCCGAGAACACGGCTGTGCTTCCCGACACACCTCCCTCATTCTCCCTCTGCACAGGTTTGCAGCTGAGCACACTTCAGGCATGCCTCACGCTTCTTTGCAGGCTTTACACTGCGCACACACTTTAACAAACCCTCTTCCTTTCCCTGCCACCTACAAATGCGCCAATTAAAAAGAATTCCATTTTCAAGTAATTTCATTTCGCTTGGCTAGAAAGGTCACTAACTCACAATTATGATGGCTATAAACATGTCCCCCGTTTCCTACCCTGCAAGAGAGGATGTGATATGTTGAAGCTTAATAAAGAAGTATTTTTCATTGTTAATTTATGTTAAAGTTTAAAAGTTACCTTCTCTTCATTTTTATTTTTGATATGAAAAATAAAATTAAAAAAAAGATGGACACTATCTTCTCCACAGGAATGGGAATAGGGCAGACAGGCCTAATGCAGGCTTTTCTACAATGCCAAATCATTTGAAATTCATTTCCCTTGTGACCAAAGTCCTTAATTCAGGCATCAAGAGGTAAGAAATCAGGAAATTAGCTCACAGAAGACCAGCGCTCTTCTCGGCCCCCTGAAATCTGAACATCTCTGCAGCTGGGAGATGGGCAGGACAGGCATACCCTGCTCCTTTCTCCTTGGCTGCTCTATGACTGCCTTTATTTCCTCAGACAGACCAACAACCTTAAACCCGAGATGCAGAGAAATGTCCCGTTACATTATTACTTTAAAATTTCATCTCCTGGCATTGCTGGCCTGGGTTGTAATTTTTAATTTTACTTTTTAAACACTCCTACAATGAAAGATAGGCACCGTGGTATAGAGTATGATTTGCAGTTGCACATTTTCATTTCAATAAAGGTTCTAAAAATGAACTTGGTGAGTGGTGTGGACGTATCCATCCATTCTAAAGTGTGTATCTGATTTTAATTATCTTAAAAGATGATTTAACCAGAAGTGCATTTCAAGCTATAAATATGGTGAAGTGAATCAAGCAACAGCTGCTGAGGAAGTTAATGTGTCCCACCTAAATATCGTAATTTACTGCTGAAAAGCAAACAAACAAACGAACAACTAACTACCCTAACATGTAGCAGGATACAAAGTATAAATGACTGCGGTTTTACAGGTAAAAAAAATCAATTTATGTAACACCTGCACCATGTTTGCATATGTACTAGATAACGAATACAGCACGTAAGCTAAGTATCATAAAGCTAAGCATTAGTAAAACTTAGTCATCTTTCTCATGCTGAACATTTAGTGAAAATTACTGCCCCAAACCAAGGCCTGAAAACAGATTGTAACCTCTCCGATTACTCCAGCACATTCAGACAGGTATAATGATGCTTTAAAACATAATTCTGCTCCCTTCTCTAAATGACCCCAATTCTTTCTTTCTATACTGGTTTAAAAAAAAAAAATAAAAAATGGACTTCTTATGCAAATACTCTTCAGTGAAAGAGGCAGTTTCACAATCATGAACATATACAAACTTTTCATTATTACAGCATAATTACTGAAAGCTCAACAAAATTCACTGCTACCACACCCTGAGCAACAAAACCGCTTTCATACAGCAGTCGGCAATTATTTCTTCTCTTGTTTCCCTACAGCAGGTCAACCCAGAGCTGGAAGGCACAGCGCGGTGCCAAGGCCCAGGAGAAGAGAATTTGCTGGGTCCTTTAAGCTGGAGATTATATGTATGCACCAGCATTACCCAAGGGAGTTACACAGGAGTTCTCCCTCTGCAACCGTCCGACCGAACATGATTGGTTCACTCTTTTCTCAGAGAAAACTCAGTGGCTTTTTAAAAAGATTGCAACTTAGGAACTCTTTCTTTCGTTTACTTTTCGTGACCAATTCATGCTTTGTGACCAGTTCTGTATTCTCATCCACGAGAACTGTGGGTAACTGAGAACCCAGCAAAGCTCTAACACGTTCTCAACCTAAGAAAGTATGCAAGAATGATTGCCACCATTTGGTATTTTCCTAAGAAATACATAAGGCTCTCTGGAGGCATATTTTGAAATGTAAAATGTATTAAAGTTAGCTTTATTACCAGTTGTCTCTGTCGTCACTTGCACCACGGCTACTTCTTTTTCTGTTGCAGCTGAAATAAGAACTTACAAAATTAAAGGTTCTCCTCTTCTACATGTGCCAATATTTTCTTAAATCTCACAGTATTGCCAAAAATTTTGCTGTCATAAAATGCAGTCACATTTGTGCCTAGCTGCATATACCAAGATACATAGCTGTATCAAAGTGCAACAGATCATTCCCACACTGATAACACTTATCTGCCTTGGTTTAGATAAGAAATCACATATAGTGTTTACCACAAAAGCAACTGCAGAAGTAAAACGATATACTTTCAATTTTAATACAACCAAACAAAAACAAAACAAAACAAAAAAACATAAATATAAATAAGATTCTAAGGTTTCAGAAAGTTCCTTACACTAGTTTGAAAATCACATTTTGGTTAATTACAGATTTCTTGCTCACTAAGGTCACAGATACATGGTGGTGTTCTTTTTGTTCTTCTAGTTGCTTTTATTTATTTATTTGCTAAATGTTGACTTCAGTGAACAGCTAAGATCTGGCATATTGATTTCTTGTTGTGAAGTGAGCTGTTCAAGCTCCATTTAAGATTT